TAATAGGCCTTGTACGTGGATTTTACATATGTGATCGCATGATTTACTAAACATTAATTCGCTTTTACTATCTTCATTGAAGCTGAATGATCATTTTCTTCCTTTAATTAATTACTTTGAGCTTTCATGATGATGGTGTCATTGTTAAAAATATAGTGAAAATAATCGATAGGATTTTTGTCGAATCAGAAGAGGTTCCACATGATGTTTCTTAACGACGAGCCTCCACCAGTTAAGAGCAGTTTGCGTGGCGGGCCATCGATTTTTCGTTGTCGCTTGGAAGTAGTGGGACTAATTTTTGAGGGACAATTCTTCCAGCATGAGATGTGTGCCCTTGAGTAGATGTATGAGCAATTCTTATTATAGTTAAAGAGTTCGGTTTTTGATATGATTGAAAAATTAGATAGAATAGTTTTAAGAAACTTGGTGGTATAATCATTTTTGTCTTAGCATCTCAACGTCTCGAAACTATTCGATTTAATTTGTATATTTTAGCAAATGAGAAATTTATTGGCAAGGGTGGGAGGAGATAGCGTTTCCGATTTTGTTTTTTAAGACTTACTTAAGAGTTAATTTCCTGGTTCACTTTTCATAGAATTTCTGTGCTTTACCCGGAATCGAATATTATGTTGTTGCAGGGTCGTATCGCCGTAGGAGCCGACGCTGATCTAGTATTATGGGATGCATCCGTTCGATGGAAATTGTCCGCCACAGAACGTCAATCATCTGTTGATGCTAGTCTTTATGATGGACTAACGCTTCACGCACAGGTAAAAAGTTCGCTTAGCTGGAAGCACATTTAAGATTGCGAAATTTTGGCGCGCTTATTCTCATTACGTTTAGGCGTCTGTCACAATAGTTGGAGGCCAAGTCGCATGGAAAGACGGGAAAATTCAAGAGTCTAAAGGCTCATTTATTCCGCTTTCAGCTAGCAGTCCATACTTGTTTAGTGTTGTACAGCAGAGAGACAAGGTTAGTCGGGTTTTGGTGCTTTGGCCCGCCTTCCTAATTTGGGGCTTTTCTTTAGGTGAGTACAGCTGAAAAAGTGGATCGAGGGGATAATGGTCAGGTACCTGCGAATGGAGTGCTGCCGAAAGATAAACGAGGCAATCCAGAACCAGGTTATGACAGGCCTTCAGTAAGAAAATCTCATCTGGAGTCCAATATCAGCTTCGGTCAGTTTGTTGAGGATGAATTTTGTGTTCATGAAATTTTCCGCAATTAACGGCTCAATTATGAATGGTTTGGAACTGGAGATGTTTACCTTAAGAAAGCTATAAGCTTTTGTTGTTCCCTTATGTCATTTGCTAGGCTTTTCTCGAAGCTGTTTTCGCAAGTAAAGAGGAAGGCCATGTCCGAAGCAAATTAAATTTTCTTCTTTGTTGACAACAGGCTAATCAGCAGGGGAGGGGCGGAGGGGCTTTTTAAATGCTTTTTACGCCTCACATGGAAGAAGGGCTTTTTTGTGAAGCAATGCGAATTCATAAAATAATGCTACACCTTAAGGAGCTCTTTAAAACTTTAAACAATCACTTCCAATGAATTTTGTGGGTTGCCGCCAATATGGCCCAACATCATATAGAAGCCTTTTTTCTTTTTTCAGAAATCCTCTTCCTTTTACCCAAAGTATTCTTACCTTATAAACCATGCGGTGTATACCGAACTCAAAGGGCAGGGCGATAACTTATTTTTTTTTGGAAATGATAGCTGTGGCGCATTAAAAGGAAACCAATCAAATTTTGTGTGGAAATTATCGCTTACTGTTGTAAGCGTTGGAGTTGTAGTAATTTTTTTAAAGCATAT